GCAATCGCCTTAAACTTTCGACAAGTTATTGCAAATTCGCCTCGATGTTATGTGCTCCTCGTTAAACAGTCATCATCTTCTAATTCTATTCATTACTTCTTCAACTTGAGCATAATAAGCCAACTAATACTTTCTTGTGTTTCGCTTTACTTTTGCCAAACGCTTACAATGCATTCGCTCATGCAATGTTCAATTGTGTACGTATCGTCTGTGAGGGGGTTTCACGTAGCTGGGTACTTGGTATCCTGTGTCTTAGACACACGGATGAAATCGCACTGAAAGAGACACAGAAGATTTTTTCGCTTTATAGGGGCTGACAGGTGTCAGCCACCAGATAAGAGAGATCTTAGTTGTACTAACTTAGGATCGAGAAATTCGATAGGTAAAAATGTAAGTAACATTCAGCTCCCCTTTCATCTTGAAGACACGTGCCTTGCGAGGCGTCTTTGGTCGTCGATCACTGATCACTAAGAGATATCAACACATCCTTCGGCTAGCTATTTAATCTTGAGCACTAAGTGCTGTCGATTCACTGAATCTTTTGGTCCCCTGGAACAGAGACCATAAGCTGTACGCTTGTTGACTCATTAAGTCAAACTCTATAGAATTAAGTTGCTCGCTGAGCGTTGAGTATTCCTCTGACTCAAGGAGCTGTGTAGATCCACTACACTTAGTGTGAATTGTAGTCAATCTACGCCTGAGACTTTCAGTCTCAACCTCTGTGAGGATAGAAAATACCACTTTCCTCTCTGAGAATGAAATGTTTGCGCTTGATGAGCTGAACGCAATTATGGGTCCAGCGTACATTGGAATTTCTTCTTTCACAAGGCTCTGAGGTGCTGAAGGCACGTGTCGAAGGCTTCATGCAGTATGAAGCGACTTTTTTAGGGAAGGTCCAAGATCAAGTAGCGTCGAATATGCATACACGCTATGTGTCAGTACCAGACGAAGAGGCTAAGCCTCGTCCACTTAAAGTGGAAGTGAAAAACTACTCCGGTAAGGAGGGTGAGAACCTTATCCTCTGGATACGTGAGATTGAGATGGCCATGAGATCAGGCCTGATCACGCTTGACCATCAACAGGTCTCGCTGGCTATCTCGACGATCGATGGTAGAGCTAGAGAATGGGCCTTGACGCGTAGCACGTCGGTGGTCATAGCGTTTCCCACATGGGAGTCGCTCAAGTCACAATTGGTACAAGTGTTTTCTCCACCTAACCAGGCTTACCGCGTGCGTTCACGCTTTCTTTCTACCCGCCAGGCTAAGATGGATTATCGGATTATGTCCAAGACTTGAAAACTCTCATGGCTGCAATACAGTCCGACCCTCTTTCCGAGGAAGTTCATGTGACTATCTTTATGGAAGATCTTTGAACTGGATTGAAAGAACCAAACTTCTTCGGGTTCACCCCTCTACTTTAGAAGTGGCCGTGGAAATTTTTCTTAATGCTGAGCATAAATTACTTCAAGTCGGCCAGGCTTGGTTGGAATGGGAACAACCCTAGCTCTGTGAGAGAAAACTCCACGAGTGGTCCGGTCTTTAATAGGCCGGAACCGATGGACATTAACTATGCTAACGATGAAGGTGGAGTTAAACTTTAAGCTGCTGAGCAGCAACACCTCGTAAGACGATATTTACGTGCGGAAGCACTCAACACTTGCTGCCTGTCTGCCTTTTGCTTAAACAGCGCCAGGCTACTAGCCAACACTCTACCCCAATCCAAAAGTCTGGAATGGCACGGGGAAATACCGACGTCCAGTAGGCGGGGGCGCCCTACTAAGGGAAAGCTGGGTTCTGACACATATTGAGGAGGTTAAGTCAAATAGGGCTTAGCCTAAAGAGATCCGTACCTATTGGTATGGAACGTGGATACAAGGCTGGCCTGATAGTCGCCGAGACTAAAGTTAAGGGCTTAAGATCTTGGTCTATTTTGATCGACTCTGGAGCGTCTTGCGATCATGTCGACGTTGTACCCTTGAGGGAAGTCAGCATTATGCTGAGGCGCTTACAGCGCATGATAATAATTACATCACGGGTCGTTTAGCGACTGGAAGTCGTGTCATTGTACCTATGTCCCATTGGACTCTAGCTTGAAGGTTTTGGACTTTAATCTATTTGAAGGCAGTCTTGTCTTAATTAGAGCTCGAAATATAATTCTTCTCTAGGTAAAGCTTGGCTTGAACGCTTTAGCCATGGGTTGATTAAAGGTATTATATTCTTGGCGCCACGCGCAAATTGCCTAGCGCAGTTTCGGAGAGTCATGAGCCCGCCTTTGCTAGGCAACAGAAGCACTACTGGTTCCAGCCTTCAACAGAAGATGTCAATGTTCTGGACATTAAATATCTGAGTTTTCTAACTCCAATGTTGTAAACATAGATCGCAAGCGGAGCTCGATGAATAAAGGTGACACGACATGTCCTCCGTTCAGTGTTGCTCGTTGTGATAGCGAGTCACTTCATGCTGAAAAAATGGTTGGCCTAGGGCCGAGTTATCAAGGATGTGAACTTTAGGATGTGTGTAAGGTGGCACGTAAAAATTTGCCGATTGTGGTCGGCCGTGAAGACACCACACCTACTGTCTGCTTTGACATTTTTGGCGAAATGCCGTTCAATTAAGAGCTAGGCTTGCATACTGTGCGTGGAGTGGCACGTGAAAATATACTGGGTAAAGAGTTTGTGTCATGTAACACTTCATTGGTTGTCGGTCAAGACATCGGCTCTCGTGTGGAGCGCGCTAATATCATTAGTAGGAAAGGGAAAGCTATTTTCCAGGCCCCTAATGGGTTTAAGGTCTAAAAGAGACGACTTGGATGTCAGGTGGCGACTGTAAAGAGCCAGGCGTCCACACAGCCACTGAGTAATAATAGTTGCACACTGTACGCATTTGATAATGGAGTGACTGGTCAGGTTGATGGCAATGTTAGCTCTACAACACATCATCTTTGGATGCTCAATGTGAGCTAGACGAATTGTCTGATGGTAAGTTCAGACAGGCCCTTAAAGGTAGGAGATTTATCCAAATTAGTGGTCATTAGACCCGATGTTGAATTGAACTCGCCTTCATAAGTGGATGAGTCTTTCCTAGAAGACACAAATGCGGAACTTAGTAAGCGAAGTATATTCGCTCCTTTTGATTCATTTAATCATTTGGTTAAGGAATTTAAAGAAGTGGTGAGTCACAATCCACTATCTATCTTACGACCTTAAAGAGGTGTACGTCATGAAGTTGACTTAGTTCCAGAAACTAAATACTGCAGGACACGGCAGTGGTCTTTTCTAAAACAGCATGACTTCATTGACGATTTCTTTCGTGCTAAGCATGCGGCTGGAATGGTTTGAAAGAGTTAATTTCCCCGTTCAACACCGACATTTTGTGTTAAACAGCCAAGGGCAAGTGGCGCATTGTGCATTGTGCATGCTTATGATAAGCTTTATGTAGCCACTATACCGGCGCAGACGCCTATTCCGTTAAAGGAAATTCTTTGTAACAATATGGCAGGTCGTACATTGTACAGTGCAATCGACTTGGTCGACGGTAATTACCAGCTCCTCATGCAAACGAGTAATATTCCGCTAACTGCGGTGAGTACTACGAGCGGTATGCTCTAAAGAGTGTCCATTTATGCCACAAGGGCTTTCGAACGCCCCGGCTATTTTTACCGTCTGGTGACGCAAATGTTCCGATCTCATAGAGGTTACGCACAAAAGTACTTTATCGAACATTTGTGTCCATAGTCGTGCAACGAGAGGTCGATCAGATGTGAATAACCACAATGATCATTTTTAAAGCGGTGCTCGAGTGCATGCGCACGAATACATGTACGCTAGAGCGTCTAAGTGCACCTTTGGTGCAGAAGAAATTCCCTTTATGAGGTGCTTTGTTGTGAAGCGAGGCCTTCGAGAGGACCCCGCTAAGGTTATGTCCATAGTCGGTTTACCGGTTCCTGAGAACCAAAAGGACTTACGTTAGTGGCTTAGCCTTGCATATTACTTGCATGAGTAGAGTGCTATTAACGCAGACATGGCCAAATCTTTTTAATCTCCTCAAAAATGATGTGGATTGGTGATGGGGTTATACCGAGCACGATAGTTTTAAAGGGGTTAAGGAAAGTCTCCTTCATGCACCAATTTTGGCTTTGCCCGATCCTGATCGGCCCTTCAGTGTCGTCTGTGATGCATCTGACTATTCCATTGGCAGTGATCACTTAAAAACATATGTTTATAGACACGAGCGCGTCATTGCGTTCGAGTCTAGCCAGCTTAAAGCTGCTTGAATGAACTATTTAGTTTATGATAAACAACAATTTACTATGAATTATGCTCTTGTCAAGTTCAGAGTACACCTGCTTGGCTCAAAGCCATTTGTGATCTATACAGATCATGCGTCATCACGCACTGCGACACAGTCGCCTCATCTCTCACAGAGAATGGCTCGTTGGCTTTCCTTCTTTGCCGAATGTAACCTCGAGGTGAAGTATAACATAGGAAAGCAAAATGCTTTGGCTGATGCGCTATCGCATCGACCTGACTATGAGCTTGCTCATGTTACGACTCTGTCGTCGTCAGTCCCTGACTTAATCCGTGCGGCATATGCCGAGTATGATCAGTGTGTAGCTTTGCTACATGCTCTTGGGAGCAATGAGTTTAAAGACTCGGACATCGAGTTGTCGGCACGTTTACGTACGAGGCTACATCAACATTCCATTAATAATGGCCTGTTGTGCTATCACACGGATATTGAGGATAAGCCTCGTATTGCTGTACCTCAAGATGAGGAATTAAAGTATCGAATCCTCTATCAGGCACATGATACTGCTTTAAGTGGTCATCTCGATCGTGAGAAGACTTATAGCTCGGTGAGCCAAAGTTATTGGTGGCCCAAACTTTATAAGTGGGTGTGCACCTACGTGTGTACGTGCGAAACGTGTCAACGGGTTAAACCCTCGGCACATGCGGCGCGCCGCTGGCTAGTTTGCCAGTGCCCACCGGTTGTTGGGAGTCCATGAGCATGGATTTTGTGTTTGGCCTACCGAAAGATTCGGAAGGCAACACTGGTATTGTGGTCTTTGCTGACCGATCAAGCAAGATGGCTCACTTAGCGGCTGTGCCGGATAGCATCGATGCTGAAGGTACAGCAAAGCTGTTTATCGACCGTGTGTTTCGATATCATGGCTTGCCGGTGGCAATTATTTCTGATAGAGACCCCCGCTTCACTGGGAAGTTTTGGAAGTCTATCTTCAACGTGCTGGGCACTCGGTTGGACATGTCCACAGCAAATTTCTTGCAGACCGACGGTCAAGCTGAGCGTGTTAACCGCGTCATCAACGACATTTGCGCAGTGTTTGCGCTGATACGCCTAGGCGTTGGAGCTCAATGCTCCCTGTTGTTGAGTTTGTGTTGAACAATGCTGTTCATGCCTCAACAGGCTTTACTCCGTTCCAAATTAACGGTCTCACTCACCCTCGCGTTCCGTTAACGCTATCACTACGTGAATCAGGCTTAGTGGGGGAGAGGTTGCCGATCGGCTTGCTGATTATAGCCCTGCTACTGTCAAAAAACAGGTAAGCGAGTTTTTCGCAACGCGATTAAATGTCTTAAGACATGTGCGTGACGCAATGGCTGATAGCCAAGCTAACCAAAAACAACAAGCTGATGCCAAAGGCAGAAATTGTACTGAGCGTTACGAGGTCGGAGACCAAGTACTTATCAATGCTAAAAAACTACCTACAAATATAGTGTCTGCTGTCTTCAAGACAAAGTTGCGCCCACGCTTTATTGAACCGTTTACGGTCACGGCCAAGAAAGTACTTGCATATACGCTAAACCTCCCGCGCAAATTGCGCACACATCCAGTGTTCTACGTAGGCTTACTTAAGCCGTACCGGGATCTTTCCCATGTGAACTTGGAGGCGCTTGTGCCGACGACAAGGGCACTGCTCCGGATTGCTGTAGGTGAATCAGCAAGTCCAACTGAACCTCGCTCCGATTTTGAGCTTGCTCCATCGCCTGAAGGCGTCTTTGCATCGCATCCAGCATGCACTGGGACTTACTTTAAGGCCTCTTAAAGACCCTTCACTTCGAGAACTAATTTCTCGTGGGCCTCCACCGGTACACCGGCCGCCACCGACTTTGCTCGATGAGCATGGGAGTCGTTAATTTTGTTTTGAGAGACTACTGAAACACCGTCGTCGTCAGGGCCAGTACCAGTATCTGGTAAAGTGGCGTGGGTAACCGGAGTCTGAAACTCATGGGAATTTGAGGTACCCCTTCGGCAAGACTGCCCATATGCTCTGGATACTTTGAGCATCGTGGCCATGGTCATCTCGAGATAGAGGCCGTTCCCCACCACTAGTGGTGCGGGTAGGCGGGTTGTTGGCCACAGACTGACCAGCGCTTGCGGCTACCTTAGTAGCCGAAGCATAGCGCGTGCGCTTGCGCAATTGGCCTCTACCCTTAAGCTTGGCTTAATCGTACCGAAGCTTGCGTTCGAGACGCACATCCGCCGCATGGGCACTAGCCCTTAGAGCAAAAATGTTGCTGAGGCGACGCACGTAGTGCTCCCAGTGAACGAAGGCATCGTCTTCTTCGATCACTGTTTCGCCTGCGAGCAAGAGAATGGGTATACCCTTGATCGGTGGAACCGGTGCACCACGTGCTTGCGTGTCAAGGCGTGCCTTGTATTAGCTTTGAGTCGTTAGGTTCGGCTCGAGGTACCTCTCACGAAGTGCCTGGCAGCTCACCACCTCCTCAGGAGTCTTAGGACCATGGCCAATGACCCACGTTGCCATTGTTTGGCCGGCCGCTTGACGTAGACGTTCCTCTACACTAGGTGGGGTGAACACATAGTCACGCTGGCATTCAAGGGTTGCAGCCATTTGTACATAACGCTAAGCGTTTTCTACTCTTTGGACAAGCAATTGTTGTTGCTCATCGTGCGGGTTCGTGATGATAGTCTCATCAGACCCAGATGCTGCATGCTGCGCTGGTGGCGTGCTTGCTTTCCACATTCAGCGAATGGAGTTGGGGTATTCGAAGGTTGTGCCTCAGGCCTCAGTGAGCCGGATATTGTCCCTGTATCACCACGGACACTGGTATCACTACCATAGTCCACCTCCTCCTCTATTCCGAGGTATTCACACAGAGCCTTTGACTCGTTTGGTGATGAGGACATCGTGCTAGAGCGTACGTTACCGTGAGGTTTACCGTACGCGCACTGTTTTCGCTGAGAACACAATTTCGATTGACGTTTTGGCAAACGTCAGTCTGGTGGGGGAGGGTGTAACGAAAAAAAAAAAAATTACACGAAATTGTGATACTTTGTACCAGGGGTGTTACACACCTGAGGTTATCCCTTTGTGAAGGTGAAACAGCACATCCTTTTGGTTTGTAGGGGCTGACGAGTGTCAGCCATTAGGTACGAAAGATCTTTGAGTAAAAATAAGATATTTTATAGGCTTAACAAAAATCAAATCAGTTCCCATTTTGATCTAAAGTGACACGTGGCTTGCGAGCCGTCTTGATCGTTGATCACTGATCACTAAGAGTTAGCACTACCTCCTTGAGGTAGCTACTCTTGAGCACTGAGTGCTGTCGATTCACTGATTCGTTAGGTCCCCCTGAAACAGGGATCTGAAGCTGTAAAGCTTGTTGACTTGTAAAGTCGTTAGTTCTTAGAGCTAAGTTGCTCGTAGAGCGTAATGTATTCCTCTGCCATAAGGAGCTGTGTATCTCCGCTCTATCAACAATCATCTGGGCACGAGGCTCCCAGATGTCCTACGCCGGTGAATAGCCACACCAGCGGACGAGGTAACTCGTCCGAACGCCATTCACATCGCGGTGGTTCAAAATACGCTCCACCAAAAAGCGTTGACCACCGCCTGATTCCACCAAAGGATGTGGTGGCGGCGAGAACACCTGATCCGGCTCGAGGGTCGGATCAGCTTGATGTTAAGGAACTGAACCGTGTAACAGAACAGTTGCAAGATGACCTGGCTCATGAGCGGACCCGGCGTTATGAGCTTTAGGATCTTGTAAGGGATAATCACAATTCTTAAACGCACGATCGCTCGGACGATCGTGCTCTGTTTTCGTTCGCGCAACTTGAGAACGAAAGTTCGACACGTTCTCTTCGTGACGAGCTGGCTGCAGCCCGTCGAGACATCGCTGAATTGCTTGAACAGGTCGCTTTGCTAGTCGACCAGACTGGCTCGTTGAAACAGGACCACTCGGAGGTGGTCTCGGCTTTTAACCGCGGATGTGTTCTTCGCATCTCGAAACGGGCTTGTACGGGTAGTACGGGCGGAGAAGACCAGCTTAAACCGTAGGATGTGTACGCATCTTACGGGCAAGTTCAATGATGTAGGCGTTGCCGATTCGGCACAACACACGAAATGGACCGATGTACCTGGGCAGTTATTTACTGCTGCCCACGTTTTTCGCTGCGTGTTTCAGTAGATTTGCTGTAGACAGCAAAACTAGGTCTTCTTCATCAAATAAAAGAATTTTTGCTATTCCTTGTTAGTCTGCTTTTCTCTTCTGTCAGTCTAATGATTTTGCAATAGTACTTTTGTCGAAGCGGACAACCGCTTCGCGAGTCAGCAGAAATTCCGCTGCTGATTCATTTTTGTCAACAGCAGTGCGCTTCGTGTGCACTGCTGAAAGAACGTTGTCTTCACCAGTGATGGCGTCATCGTCCTCGCTGTGGCAATTATTGGAAATGCTGAATATACCAGCATCGTCGTCATCATCAACATCGATATCGATTGCATCGACATCGGCATCTATCACGTCGCCACCATTGTCGACGGGTGATAAGCAAGAACCAGATCGGTTTTTGTTCGAGCGATTCAACCCCGCCCCCCTCAAACTAGAGTCACACCCTAAAAACGCGGGTACACGTGGATGGCGTAGGCCATTCACGAAGAACAGTGTATGCGTTGTCGACGCGTGCACCGAGTTGTTGATGGTGAATTCCAGTATCGGCAAGAACTCAGTCCAGCTCGTAAGCGAGTGGACATACCCTTGAAGCATCTCTTCGAGTACGCTATTGACGCGTTCCGTTTGACCACCGGTTTCAGGATGGTCAGCTGTCGACATCGTTTAACGCGTTCCAAGTGAACGGAACACGGATTGCCAGTTCTCCGTTGTAAAGCGGGGGTCTTCACCAGACACGAGTTCACGGGTTAACCCGTGAAGTCGGGAGATAGCATCGATGAAGAAACGCGCACAGCCCTGGGCTGTGATTGACTCTGGTACAGCAACAAGATATTCCATCTTGCTGAACCGATCGACAAACACAAGAATACCAGTATTCTTGTGAACGTCTTTGGGAAACTCGAAGACGAAGTCCATCGATACGGACTGCCAACACTCTGCCGGAATCGGAAGAGGCTGCAAGGGTGCGCGGGATGAAGGACTAGGATTCACCTGCTGACAAACTTCGCAAGCGCGATTGTATTTGCGCACAGAATCATACTGGCGGGGGCAGTAGAAGTCACGAATTACCGTGGGGTAAGTCTTTTCTTTACCACGATGCTCACTGTTTAAGGCATCGTGACACTTATACAAGATGCTCAAGCACACAAAAATATGAGCGGTAACGACGACACGAGGTGTGGCACCGTTGACTGCTGTATAGTACGGCAGTCCATCACGGACAGAATACCGTTCGGTTGAAGAGCGGTATTGAGACGACAAGCTTTTAAAAGCTTGATTACACGGATTGGATACGTAATTCATTAATCGCTAAAGATCCTCATCTTTCCTGTTTTTGCGTATGCCTTCCGCACGTCTTCGAGCAGATTCGACGACGGAATACTCACTGATAGTGTTGCTACAGTAGGATTGCCCCTACTGTTGGGTTGAGCAGTCGGCTTGAAATTTGGGCCGACGCGAAAGAGCATCAGTGACGACATTAAGCCGTACTGGGTTTATATTTGACGGAGAAGTAATGCTCCGCAAAGAAAGACAGCCACCTCGCCATTCGTTGCAAGAGGTGTGGACTGTATACGGCCGTGCGTAACGACGCATGGTCGGTATAAACGAGGAATGGTCTATCTCCTGAGAGATATACCCAAAACTTAGCCAAAGCACAAATCATGAAAAGGAGCTCCTTGTCATGCACCGGGTATTACGCTCAGCTGCTTGCTGCTGAAGCGATTGATAACAGACGACGCGCCTAACGCCGTCTGAGTCGAAGTGCATTAACGCGCAGCCGATTGCAAAATCACAGGCGTCACAGACCTCATGGAATGGTCTATCCTAGTCTGCAATTGCCAAAACAGGCGATTGTAACACGCTTTTCTTGATACCTTCGAAAGAGTGCTGATACGCAGTACTCCATGACCACCTCTCGTTTTTCTTTAGCAGACGAGAGAGATGTACGGTCATCTCGGCATAGTTGCGCGAGTGATTGTGAAAGTACGTCGACTGGCTTAGGCCAGTAGCCAATCGCCGTGATCTTTTCCGGAATAGGTCGCACGCCGTTTTTTACCGCAATGCAGCCAAGAAGTAGTATTTCATTCGCTGCGAATATACACTTCTTGAGGTTTGCGACAACTTATGCTGTCGCAAAAGTAGAAAAATCTTCCGGACGTGAATTCTATAAATCTCCAGGTCCGTATTTCCATCCATAGCCCGGCTATGGATGAAGACATCGTTGAAGTAACTCGGTGCGAAGTCGCGCACCGATCGCAACAGATTCGTAAAGCATCTGTTGATCGTTGCAGGGGCGTTACTTAGCCTCTGTGGCTTTACTAGCCACTCCCAGAGCATACCACTGGGGGTGCTCACTGCTGTGTACGGGATGTCCCGTTCACGCATGAGGATCTGATAGAATATATCTATCAAATTCATGGACGAAAGATGATACTTTCGCCATACCATCTATGATGACGTCCTTTCTTGGTATCGGCTTATGATCCAGTACCGTTGCAGCGGTCAGTTTGTCGAACACGTGCACTATCCGCCACCCTCCTGTTGCCTTATGCACACATAAGGTAGGAGAGCTGTGTGGGGATGTTGAATCCTCACATGACCAGCCGCTAATCGATCGGCAAAGAATTTGTCGATCGCTGTTATCTGTTCACGAGGCAGTGGCCACTGCTTCGTGACACAGTATTTCAAACCAGGTTTCAGTTCGATCTCATGCTGAGTGCCTTTGTCCTTGGGCAGCTCGCATGGCACGGTTTCAGATAAAACATTCCCATACCCCACCAAATCCTTATACAAAGGATTGTCTTCAAAGACTCCCAAGATTGAGACGTGTATCGTTTAATCCGGTTCTTCTCATAGAGGAAACTCTCATCCGTAGATGATTTACTGAGAACCCGTTCGTTCTCAGCAAACACTTGTGCCGACCAAAATCGGCGATGTACTCGTCGTATGAGACGAGCACGCAGATCGTCTTGATACTGTCACTACGTAAATCTCGCAAAAATATTTTAGATTCTAGCATTGGCAACTTAACTACCTCCGAAGCTAACTTGGGGGCTTCACCAGATCAAGTGTATAAGCGCCTACACTTGATCCTTCTTTCACAAAGACATTCACAGTCTCGGTGATTTCCTAAGAAAAACATCCGCAGGTGGTTGGGGATCCACACCCTCAACATAACTCTATCGAGAGTTATCACTTTCAGGAACGCTGGAATTTTTCTTCTGTTAGGTGTACTATCACGGTCACGTCCTCTTCGATCGACTCTCTTTCAGTCAATCGGGCTTGCTCTACGATCGACTCTCTGATAGTCGATCACGCTTCAACTTGTTGTACATCCTGAACAGCACTAGTCTCTATTCTCGGATGCACCCTTCTCGGTGTACATCCGTGTTCCAGTCCACTCGATCTCTTCGAGAGGTGAGCCTTCGGTGCAGCCTGTGTCTCTACACAGGTGCCGGAAGCTGGTTCCACAGTGTAGTGGCCTTCTACACTGTGATCTTGTTTAATGCTACTAACGATCGTACCACAAGTGAGGCCATCGCACTCACTCGAATTACATCCACACGCTTGTGGACGCTCCAAGACGTTCATCAGATGTCCATCCGATGAACAAAGAGCAGGCATCTTCACGAATCAATGCTGCCATCTGATCCACGGCTGGTACTTTTTAAGCCGTGGCAGACCGAGGATGACATCAAATTTTTCATCCAAATCAAATACGATAAACTTATCATCGTACCGCTTTCGTTCTAGCGTGTAGTGGGTTCCCAACGCACGTTCGTTTACCGTTACGGATGAACCTGTAGCAAGGCACACCGTCATCCTCGTTGGCGGGAACACTCGCTCAACATAGTTGAGACTACTATCTTCTAGCGACTGGCGTCGGATGAAACTGTTCGACGCACCACAGTCAACCGGGTCGCGAAGTGACATTCCACTTGTCACGTCGATATTCAAAGTGATGAGAGACTCCTAATCACTAAGGGCAGTAACACACAGCGACTGTGTGTTGGGAGCAATCTTCGTCAAGAGTCCTGCAAATTCTCTTGACGTTGCTGGATCAGCAGGGTGCTCCGCCCCTACTGACCTGTCTGTTTTGTACGGTCCGACTTGCTGTCGCGGCTTAGCGACATTGACAGAGTTGCGCTTTGGACCATTCCTCGGTCAACGCTGGTCATCACGTTCTGTCTTCGGACGTGTCACAGTGATCGGGACACTACACTCATGAGCGTGGTGTCCAACCTTATGACAGCGATGGCATCTTGCCGTTCGCTTGTGACTCAGAGAGCGAGAGTTCTCACTCTCGATGTAACAGAGGTCCATTGGTTTGGGACCTCCTGTTTCCTGTTGTCTCGTTGGACAATAATTTGGCGAGTTAGCCTGAGACTGTCACAGGCTGAAGTCTTCTTTTTCCGCATACGCAATCGCCTTTTCTAGCGTATGGAAATCCTCTCGGAACATGTAGGTATTCACCGGCCCATTCACAAGGTCGTAGATGAACACGTTGATGAGCGTGTGCTCATCAACAGGGTTTTCCGCAACGCTACTCGCGAGGTAGCGCAGGTGCTGTGCTTATGCGTGCACATCATGCTTACCTTGTTTAAGCCTCAGGAGTGCAGAGCATGCTCTAAACTCGGCTCTCGGCGGCTCATACATCTCTTTGAGCCGAGACTTCAAGATCTCCAATGACTAAATCATATTTTAAAGTATTTAAAGAAATTTTTCCTTGTTGAAAACCAATTTTTTTCCGTTTTGATATATTAAAAATACCTAAGGCCCAAGTCTTTGCCCGTCCTGTCAAATTTGACGGGGCGAAGGTGACTTGCATCTCGTCTCCCTCGATGTGACGGGCCCTGATGGCATCGTCAAACTCGACGAACCATCTCAAAGAAATCTTCATAGGGTCCCTTGTACCTTGATATATCAATCTTCAAGGTTTTGGGTCCACGCATTTGCGTCAGTCCGCACATCGACTCATGAGAGCCTTGCTGTTTTAGCAAGGCTATCTTCTGTCTTTCGACGGCAAGTTCCCCTTGTAGGAGCTTGTTCATAAAAGCATGTTGCTGGTCTCTGTTTAAAGACTCCAACATGGTGATTGCGGGTTCGCCCGTGAGCACACTCATGCGGCCGACTATCTCCCAGTCTGAGTCACGACGAATGGAGTAGCCTTCACGTGTGACGTGAAAGCCGTCGTCTTCTACGTCTAACATGTTCGTGGTGGACGGATACTAAGAAGTCGTTGGACAGACTGCAAGTACTACCAGGTTGTACGGGGTACCCTTTGTGTGCGGTGCCACGAAACTTTTCGTTCACTAGTATGTGCAGAGGAAGCTAATTTACTTGAAACTAGCTGTTTGAGTAAAAAATAAAAGAGAACTGTACTTAATATAGCTAAGCTATCGATATAACTTTATTCTTTATCTAACTATACTAAACTACGTCGTCGTATGACGACAACCTGCTCACCACTCATTGCGCGCGTCTAGCTGCGATTGGTGGCAATCTATGGTCGATGTGTCTTACGTCAACCAATCTTGGAGCAGCGAATGAATATTATCCAAAAGGGGAAAACGTGCCTTCATTATTATCCATCTCGGATAATATCGGTAGAAGATTGTCATGCTAGCCAACATTCCTATTGACACCGTTTAATGTCAATA